TTACATTTACGTATACATACATACATATTTCTATATCTAAATATCACTATAAATAAATACACACATCCAGCCAGCCAGCCAGCCATCCACACGCACACACACGCACACACACACACACATATATATACATATATCTATATCTATATATATATATATATATATATATATATATATATATATATATATAAATGTCCCTCGAGCGACGTACATCATTCTATTTTAACAATACGTCTGATTCGCCATTGTATTGGCATGGTTACCTTGTGCGGCCTTGTCTTCAGTCGGCGTATTCGTTGTCACTGCGATAGTATCTTTGTCTGTCGGTTTGTCCTGTATGCTACTCTTCTCAGTCAGGACGTCCCCTTCCACGTCCTTCTGGAGAGCCCCCACCTCTTTCTCAGAGGGCCTGTTCTGCACCTCCGTACTTCCATTTGTGCCCTTTTCCTTACTACCATCAGCCCCTACAGGCGCAGTATTGGTCTCTCCCGTGTGCTGTATGTGCTTCCTGGTAGTTTGCTGAGAGGTTTCGCTGGGTTTGTTGGCAGCTACACCGTCCTTCACAGTTGTGGGTCTCTCATGTTCCTCCGATGCGTGTTCGGGTAGTTGTGCGGTCACTTCGCCTTGCTCCTGCTTGTCTCCCTTCACAACTGTCTTATCAGTCCCACCACCAAGGCTATCGCCCGTGGCCTGTGCCTTCGTTTCCGACTTGACATCTGGCTGGTTCGACGCATCAATCCCCTCCTTATGCTCTGCTACCGTGCCTACCTCCCCTTTGGCATCACCCCCCGCATCCCTACCAACTGGTTTCTTGGCAACCGTCGTGTTCTGTTCTGCGGTGGCCTCCTGTTTCTTCTTCTCCTCAGCCGCAGCTCTGGCCGCTCTGCGTTTCTCCAGGATCTCCCTCACCTTCTCAGAGGCTCTGGTGGTGGTCTTACCTCGCGCTCCCAAGGTAACAGAAGCTGCGCTGGATGGGGTGGGTCGCTTTTGTGAACCCGGACTACTGTGTGCTGCATCAGGTGTAGTATTAGAAGGCCCCGTTACCTCCTCACCTTTCGAGCCATCGCAGCCCTTCACACCGTCTGACACCGTACTGGCGCTACTCATGTTCCTGGAATCAATCCAAGCCCCCGTGAAATAATATATGCTTGTCGAAAGTAAGGTATTCTGAGTTGATTCTTTTATGTCGATGCCACTTACACGAATGGAGTGCGAGCCGTTGCGACGGGTCTGCGTTTCTGCGAGGCAACCGCTGCTTTCAATAGAACAAGGTCGATTGAAGAGCTATGTGCAGGTTTCTAAATATATAGGTTGGACGAGCGTGGCGCACTGTTGCGTATGATATACACACATATATATATATGTTATCGACATGCATCTGACCTATAAAATACAAAAAAGTTCTGGAATACATTCCGTTTTTTTTTAACTTTTATTTAGGCGCCTCTATAAATACACTTGATATCAAAATGTAGATGTGAATATGTTGTTTTATATAAAGTCGCCTAAAATACATACAGCTGATGCCAGATTATCAGGAGCGCCGCACTGTGTACACTGGATATGTGTCTGTGTGAATCGGATTGAACCTAGACTCTTCAGGCACACGGAATGACACCAACGACACTAATGCCGCCCTTGGCCTGATCGTCTTGTAAACCACTAAACCACAAGCATTTGAATCCGAGTAAACCACAAGCAATTGAGTCCGAGATGTGTCGCTAAACAAGCAAACGATTGCTTTGTTTCATATTCAAATCTGAAACTAGTACGTTCGCTATCGTAGATTCAGTGAGACAGAAGCAAATGCACACGATTTAAATAAGGGCTATCATCCTGAGAAGAGTGTGCCTTAGGGTATAGTAAATAGGTGAAAGTTGCAATTCCGTTAGGTGGTGAGAATCCAAGTCAGTTTGAAATGATATAATGGGCCTGTAACATGTAGCGGCTTTTTCCTCGTGACAGATAAAGTTAACATAAGGCTTCTGCATGGCTAGTGCATCGTTCAACGAAACTATGTGCATCCGCCGCGATCTAGTCTTGCGCGCTTGCTGTTGTATTGCGCGGGCGGGGGAGAGGGGGGGCAAAAAGTGATTAGAACTGTTTCTACGTTTGTATTAAAACTTAAAGTGGCAAAAGCGGAGGCGAGGACTGTTCAAATCTGTGCAGAAAACAATGATAAGCGGTGTACTTTGATGCCAATTAGAAGGAACGGCGGTTGGTTTGAAGCCAAAGGTTCTTCATACAATGCAGCCAAATTATCTTATATTGCGACGGATAGTTCCTAACTCCTATGTTCAGATACACTAATAAATTGAATACTCTGTAAACACTAAACTTGTAGTCCGTGGCATACCTTCAGACGGCAAGCCAGGATGCCATCATGTGTCTCTTTAGTGGGCTATGCATCATGCCAAGTGGCCAACCGGAAGCCCGACTCAAGAAAGTGCCGAAAGCCGAACGGTGAAAGTCACACGAAAGACACGAGTCCGGAGTTACAACTAGAGCTGAGTGGAACACGCTACGTACACGGTCTCTGTGTAGGCCGTAACACAAAGGATACAGCGGCAGCAGTGAAAGCACACGTTCCGTGAGCTGTGCGTGACGGTCGTATAGCGCTTGTTCCCTCAGATGGTAAGCCAACAGTTGGCGTGGGTGTGCGTATCAACATGAGAGCAGTGAACAATTAGAGCTTCCAAGGCCACGAAAGCGCGACGTTCCCTGTTGTGTATTACATACCTCCACAATAGCCCGGTGAGGCGGTTATTATCATCTAGTGGACGCGAGTGAGTGAACCACACTTCTGACCATGCTATAGGTCTGATGTGTTGTGGGCGTTATGGGTACCAAAAGAACACTCACGATTCGGTGCATGTGAATGTCTCTTATGTACGTGGTAGTGGAGGGACTATGGGCCAATCAACGCTCATCCAGTTCTAAATCGATTGCATAGAATCAAGGAACGTGACCCAACTCAGACTCGTCTGATAACATCCTATCGTGTGAATAGACTCGTCTGAGAACGTCATATCTTGTGATTAGACTCGTCTGATAACATCCTATCGTGTGAATAGACTCGTCTGAGAACGTCATATCTTGTGATTAGACTCGTCTGATAACATCCTATCGTGTGAATAGACTCGTCTGAGAACGTCATATCTTGTGATTAGACTCGTCTGATAACATCCTATCGTGTGAATAGACTCGTCTGAGAACGTCATATCTTGTGATTAGACTCGTCTGAGAACGTCCTATCGTGTGATTAGACTCGTCTGAGAACGTCCTGTCGTGTGATTAGACTCGTCTGAGAACGTCCTGTCGTGTGATTAGACTCGCCTGAGAACGTCCTATCGTAGTGATTAGACTCGTCTGAGAATGTCCTATCGTGGTGAAGTGGGACAGTAGAAGTAATCATGCACCACTAATTGGGCATGGAGGTCAGATGCTGAGATTCCTGTCCACTTTTGTTTTCCAGGTCCGTTTCAGGTCTTGATAATGTCTTGTTACTGTTGCCGATAGAGAGATCCGAGACCGTCGTCGTAGACGCAAGTAAGCATAGTCACGTATTATAATACACGTACTAGAACATATGGCCAGGCGCAGCTGTTACTTTTTAGCGGATGCTCATGCACACGCAGATAACCCTGGAAATAGACTATACAAGTGTGTAGATACATGTGCACGCGTTTAATACGACGATTCAATCACTTCATGGACGGTATGCACCACACATCACCATTCATCTATGAATATGCCGCTTCATTTGCAAGTCACTTACTAAAACCACCTACATCGAAAGCATGTATATTATTGCGCATCGTGCTAAAATAGGTGTACACTACCTTGGTTCAAATCTACGGTCAGGATTCATAATCTTTTAACTTTGGTGGACACCTATATTTATTTCAAATATACACACAATCAAAGGCACATCCACCTCAATTTCTAAATTAGGTCCTCAGGACCGGATCGTACAGAGGGCACGGGACATCTTTATACATCGGCTGTTTCCATGTCTTTGATTATTTCGTGGCTGTCGTATCTGTGTATGCTACCTGCCTGGTTGTCGAGGTATTCGCTCAGTTTCGCATCGCCCATGGCTGCAGAAAGAGAAGGTAAAACCATCAGCAATAGTTCACTTGGCAAGCAATATTGCAAGCCTACGCAATAAGAGTGGACGTAAGTGCCACACCACTGATGATGTATACTATTTCACTGTGTTCAGCGATTGGGCATGGAACAATGATGGATGTCTCACGCAGCGGAATCACAACACGAGTTAACACTACATCCAATGCACATGGATGATACAACAACCACCAGCACATGCGTGCACACACAACCCTCCACTACCGCAAACACAGGGCTAAGTCAAACCCCAATACAATATGATATATACCAGCCAGTACACCTAATACACCTGAATAACATTACACACAGGCAATGACTAAGCTAGTGAACACGTGGCTGCACCAAGTCCAGATATCGAGGACATATGCACTCTGCAAAGCCAAGCCAGATGCAAATATACCTGAATAACAATACACACAGGCAATGACTAAGCTAGTGAACACGTGGCTGCACCAAGTCCAGATATCGAGGACTTATGCACTCTGCAAAGCCAAGCCAGATACAAACATGCATTGATCTCAAAGAGACCACGCGCAGTGCGTATGGGGTCTATGGACACAGCATCACGTGTTCGGAGAGCATGCGACCGACCCCCTCTCCAACCACACCACACGCCAACACACATACAACAATTCAGTCAGGCAAGGATGAAGAACACATACACCTCATAAAACTACCTAAAGCATAAAGACACGTGTAGCCAGCATGTACCTCAAGCACACACTACGTACCAGCCAGGATGAAGCCAATGAACACAGGGCTGGGTCGTACAGGTCGGCTGAGGTATTCTGGGTGGTACTGCACACCCATCATGAAGGGGTGTGATTCACGGGTCAGCTCGGTGATCTCCATACGCTCTCCGGTCTCGTCTCTACCTACAAAGAGCAGGCCGGCAGCTTCTAATTGGTCCACAAACTCCGGGTTCACTTCGTAACGGTGGCGGTGACGTTCCAGTACAAAGTCTTGTCCGCCGTATAACTTGACTGCGGGTGTGTAGAGCGTGGGGATGAGTGAGGGACTTCTAGGGTTTAGGGTTTTAGGGTGTATCCGCTTGCTGTTTGCGGCTGGATAATCGCTAAGCTTGTTCGAGGTATATACAGGCGGAGAAGAGTTTGATATACAGGCGAGAAGAGTTTGCTTGTATGCGTACATACGACCTTGGCACCCGTGTGCTCACGTCGCACTCGGCACAGCGCTGAATAAAACCTAGTAGCGAATATCAGCCGACAACTAAGCTCACACATCAAGCACAACACCCCCACACCAACCCACACACATCAAGCACCAACACCAAACCACACACCTCAAGCACCAACACCCCCACACCAAGCCACACACCTCAAGCACCAACACCCCCACACCAAACCACACACCTCAAGCACCAACACCCCCACACCAAACCACACAATTAAGCACCAACACCCCAACACCAAACCACACAAATCAAGCACCAACACCCCAACACCAAACCACACACATACAAGATGTAGAGTCCCTGTTATGGAAGAGCGTCTTTCTCTGGCCAAGTCTCATGGTGCCGCCGAGATGTGTCTTAGACCCTTCAGGCATGAACATCACCACAGGGTTTGCTGTAGCTTCGTTGAACTCTGTTGAGTTGGCGTCCTCCATGCCCATCACATTGCGGGCGAATTCAATCACGGCCAGCTGCATACCAAGACAGATGCCCAAATATGGTATCTTGTTCTCGCGCGCCCATTGAGCGGCGTGGATCTTACCCTCGGTGCCGCGATGGCCAAAGCCACCAGGCACTAAGATTCCGCTGAATGGATATGGAGAAAAAGGGCAACGGTTAAATGACCACATGGTAGGTAAATTTCGGTACCTACCTAACTGATGAATAGGCGGATACGCACATGTATCTATATAAGCAATCACACGTCCGCGTGGCCCTATTGGTACGCCCATACATAGTCCGAGTGTAGATATGATTTTCCGTGACAGGCTGATAATAAGTATTGTTGGCGTGACAAGATAGGAAAGAAAGAATCCTTTACCTGTCTAGCGGACCGACCAATCCGTGCACATACCGACGTGTGCATCAGTACTATTGCAATACATCACTTACGTACATATAACTACAAACACACCCAATACATCACGTACGTAAGTAGAACTATAAACACACCCAACACATCACATGCGTATATATAACTATAAACACACCCATCACACCACATCCGTATGTATATAACTACAAACACACCCATCACACCACACACCTTGCGCCACAGAGCTTAGACCAAGCGTCGTGGTACTGTACCGGCTGGGTCGACAGCGTCTTCCTCTCCAGATGCTCGGCCTCAATCCACTTCAGCTCCAACTTGCGCTCACAGAACAGCGAAGCGTGTTGCAGGGCTTTGGTAATGGACAGGTAGGTATCGCTGAGACCGGTGTACTTACCCACCACCACAATCTCAATCTCTTCCCGCACGCGGGTCAGGCGGCTAACCATAGACATCCACTTAACACCGAGAGACGAGTTCAGGGCGCGTTCTTTAAGACACTTGGGCAGGTTGAGTCTCTCACCTAGCACCTGGGAGGATAAGGAGGGTGGTAGTATGGGGCAAGCCTGCGTGAGTGTGGTATGTTGGTGTGGCGAAGCTTAATGGGATACTCCGCTCGCATACAATGTAAAGTAAGGCAAAGGTTTTGTAGGGGAATGTCAATAGATTCACAGAGAAGTGTACTACAGGTGCGCTATAGAGAATACATATATTATGGGTCTATGCACGTATCAATAACTCCCACAAATAGGTAAAGTGTGTACTTGTTTGCTTGTGTGCAGATACCTACCGACAACGTAGTATGTACATGCATGAACGAGTGTCCCATACCTTCAACATATTCTGCTTCTCCATCAGCAAGGGCACCTCCCACACAGACTTGCAGTCGTGCAAGTTGAGTACGCTCTTCTCCTCCACGTGGCAGAATTGCGACACCTTCGCAAGCACCTCCTGTTGCAACGGCACAGTACTGCGACACACAATGACATCTGGGAACATGCCCAGGCTACGCAGCTCACGGACAGAGTGCTGGGTGGGTTTTGTCTTGGACTCGCCTTTTGTGGACAAGAGTAGGAAAGTCGTTAATAGTAAACTACTAGAAAATATATTAAATATATATATATTTATTCTGACAAGTAGTGATCGACACAACAGAAACAAGATTGTGAAATGAAACAGAGACGACCAAGCAATTAGCAGGCAGCAGCTTGATATCAATTTAGACTAACAAGAAACTGATGTTCACTTATACTCCGAACAACAAGGAATACACACTCGTCTAGAATTGGAGAGCAAGGACCTACTACAGCATATACAAAAGCGACAATAGTTCACCCAAATACCTGTTCATAAAACAGAGTATTTAGCTCAGTAAACCATAACCTTCGTGGATCTCACCTGTGGTAGCGATGACCGGTACCAGACTCACGTGCACCAGCATAAAGTTCTCAGATCCCACGCGCAGTTTGAACGCGTTCATGGCCTCGGCGAAGGGTGCACTCTCAATGTCCCCCATAGTTCCACCGAGCTCAATGACACACACCTATACGAGTACAAGTCATGCGAAAGGTGTGAACGGGCGTACATTCACACTAACATGTACGAGCATTCGGGGGCTTCACAAGCCCATCTCAGGTTACACTTGTATGTTCCGTAACGAAGCTCACATACGCACCAAAGGGCAGGGATACTTCTGACTACAGACATGGGTTGGAGATAACCATAAGCGAGTACGCCCAATGATAGTCCACAGGCGTATGAACGGAAGTACCATTCGGCGGACCATACAACGCCAATACAGACGTATACATACCTGCCCGCTTACACACACAGACATAGGCGCAAAGCACATGCTCTCATATACACGACACGGTTGACGTATACGCATACAAACCCATTTCATCTAACACACAAACATACTTCCGGTTCCAGCCCGGATTCATCCACAGGCATGCGAGCGACGCGCTCGATCCAGGCCTGGATCTCATTGGTCACATGTGGCACCACCTGTACTGTCTTGCCCAGATAGTCGCCCTTGCGCTCCTTCTCAATGACACTTCGGTACACCTTGCCCGTGGTGATGTTGTTGTCCTGCGTGAGTGTAATGTCTAGGAAACGCTCGTAGTTGCCAAGGTCAAGGTCGACTTCACCTCCATCGTCGAGGACATAGCATTCTCCGTGCTCGTACGGCGAGAAGGTGCCTGTTGTATGAGGATGTGTATTCAATAGCCAGTCAGAATATACCAACTACTGAACATCGGGTTTTACGCAGGCACAGATGCGTGTTCACATATAGACATTATTTTCTTGAATCACACGCATACATAGCCTTACAAATATAACCACAGAGAAGATCAGTCGCAGTCATCGGAATACACCATTGGTGCATGTCTCCTTGGTAACACAGCCATTGATAAAGAGGCTGTATCCGACTCGTCCAATAAGTGTACATTAACGAGCATGTATACACATATACATACAGTGTAGGGTCGACATGACGAACGCATAACTGTAAATGTATGCTCAAGCCACGATTATGTCACATCAATGTTAGTGTTTACGCGCACAGAAAACAACAAGAAAAGGCCCGCTTGTATATGTCGGTACGAGGTTTTCATGAAAGACAGACGCTTGCGTATGAACACCCGCGTTAGCAGACGAATGTGTTCCCACACGACAGTCAAGGGCTGTGTGTATGTGTATGCAAACATTGTTCTTTAGGTATGAAAAAATGTGTGTTGGTGTACTGATTCATGGGATAGAGCGTGTGTAATCACTTGGTGCCCAGAAATTCACTCAATAATTTCTTCTTCTCTAAACAGTACATGAGTTGGCTTGTAAGAAGGCATCCGGAATTTAGTAATGTACTTGATTTATCACAAGAACCAAAATATACACATACACACCCACAGCAATTTTCCCGATTGTAATATCTATACACGTTTCACAAAAATGCAAACGAATACATAAACTAATAGACGGGCAAACAAAACAGCTTTCGAACACGAAACGAAAAAGTCATTTATATTCATAAATATATATATATATATTCAGAAATATATATGGAGGAAAATATAAACAAGAATATATATACAGGAAAATATATGCAGGAATATATATATATATATGTATATATATACATATATATATATATGGATGAATCTATATATATATAAATACATATTTATATATATATATACATATATATAATATATATATATATGATATATATATACATATATATAGAATAAGTATATATAACTANAGTNNTATATATATATA